CTACACACACAGATCAAAAAATGTGATGCACCATATATGTGGATGGGGTGGCGAACTCATTCACAGATTAGATTTGGCCAACATGTTGATTTGTTTTGCTTGACTCAACTTATTTGTTGTAAGGAAGGGATCTGTTGGGGTGGACTCAGAAGGGACTGACTTTTTTGAGGAAGAGAATCAGTTCAGCTGGGGCAGGGAAGGAGGTGAGGAGAAAAGTGTGATGTGGACACAACTGAGGACATCTCAGTTGGAGCTATGATAAGGGGAAGTGTTTTGCTCATATCCAGAAACAGTGTTCCTCCTAACAGGGACAGGTTCCCCCTCTGAGTTTCCCTCAGCCTAGCGTCTGAGTTGGGGAGACAGCCAGAGTGGCATAGCATCCCAGAACCTGTCACACATCCTGTTTCAGAGCCCTGGGGCACTAGCACCGTCTTACACCTCCAGCTTAAGGCATACTGATCCCTGTAGTCAGAGTAGTAGTCTCACCTACATCTCTCCGTTCTGCCCCAGAAAAGGGGATGTGTTGCCAGAGAATCTTTATTTGTGTGCAAATATGCAAATACACACAAAAACATACTCAATCTAAACTTGGATTTCAAGTGTTCTCTTGCGTCATCCAACACAAGGACTGAGAAGAGTCTACAGAAATCTCAGGGAACAGCTTTGATGGCTCTTGAGCCTGGGCAGGATGCCCACCTCCTTGACTGTCCAGCCTCCCCCTCCCCCTCACATCTTCACCCCTGAGGCAGCCCCCAAGGGACCTCAGTATCCTAGCATGTGACTGCATCCACATCTGACTCTGCTTCTGTGGTGGGAGAGGCAGGGACTCTGACGTCAGAGTGCGTGAGGCTGGACAGGGAGGAATCTGAGGCAGCGACAAGACTTGGAGTCAGAGGGCTTGACCCCCAACTCAACTCTGTAGGTTTTTGGCAAGTTGCTCCACATCTTTAGACCTCAGCATCTATCCTTTTCTATAGAGCAAGGAAGCTTGACCAGCTGATTGCTGAAGTCCATTACAGCGCTAAGTCCTATGGCTCTGGGATATCCATTGCAGAAGGGAAGCCCAGATTTCACATTTTATATGACTTTGGTAAGTTGAAGCAGTGTGGGTTGTGAAAATGGGTGTTGGATGTATTAGAGGTGGAGCCTCAGTACTGTGAAGGGAATTATGATTTTCATATTAACTGACAGGATGTGTAATGAATACACTAATAATTTAGATTTTTCAAGGGACTCTGGCTTGGGAGTCACACTTACAATGCAGCTTGAAATGATCAAACTCTTGACAACACTCTCATAATTACTGCATTCCTGTGCCTGTATACCCTAAGTGAAGTACGTCAAAGATTGTAGAACCTGTGCCTACCACAGAACTCTGGTCTTATGCCCTACCAAGTAATGACTCCCAAGGATTTGAAACAATACTGTGCCCACAGGACTCCAGAAGACGTGTATTGTGGACTTGTGAGCTTACCATGTGGGAAACAACTCAGGCTCTGGGAGATGACTGTAATCCATCTCCCCCCCCCTCCCTTCCCACCTGTGATTTATATATAACATCTCTGCCTTCCCTAAAGCAAGGGGGAATTCTGATCAGAATTCCTCATTTGCACATCTGTTCCTCATAATGAAACAATTAATTAAACCGCTACTTGATTACAGGCACATTGTCTCTGGCCTGCTGTCTTGTCATTCCCAGTTTAGAGACTGGCTCAGTAAAATTCTGTTAACATTTAGCCTCTATGCTGGGCTCTTAAGACTCAACCTGGGGTCACTGGCCTTAGTACAGTAACTAGATCAAGGATTCTTGACTAGGGGGTTCTGAGAACTTTTTAAAAAACATTTTGACAACTTTATTTTAGGATAATTTATTTTCCTTGTGACCTTATGTGTTTTATTCATTTGAAAACATTATTCCGAGCAGCCCATAGTCTTCATGAGAGTGACAAATGAATCCATGAAATAAAAAAGATAAAGAACCTCTAGCCTAAGTCTATGAAGTTTTTCTCAGATATGAACACAGCATCAGAAAAACTGGATTTTCACATGTACTGGTATCCTAGGCTGGGCCTGAATAACAGCAATCCCCCAGTGGTTTAGGTTTGATATTGAAACAAAATGAGTCACTCATACATAGTTCATTCAACAGTTAACAAAAAGATTTACTTAGCCATAGTGAAAGAAGGATATTCAACAAGGATCAATATTGTGGACATCTCAAGTTGATTCAATTGAGTGAAGCTCCTTTGGTCCACCAGCTAAGCCCTCAAAAGATAGCCCCTCAAATCACTAATAATTAGAGAAATGTACGTTAAAGCAATTTCAGTACCACTACACACCTGTCAGACTGGCTAACATCACAGAAAAGGAAAATCATAAATGCTGGAGGGGATGTGGGAAAATTGGGACACTAATGCACTGCTGGTGGAGTTGTGAACTGATCCAATCATTCTGGAGAACAATTTGGAACTATGCACTAAGGGCTATCAAACTGTGTATATACCCTTTCACCCAGCAATATTATTACTAGGCCAAAATTAACACAAGCAGCAGAGAATCAATCCGTACTTCCTTACATCTCAGGTTCAGAGGCTGCATTGAATGCACAATCATTTGCGAACAAAAAATCATGCACCAACACTCCCTCCACTTTGGTCTTGGCTTGTAGCCTTTTCAAATTGAAGAACTTACTATCAGCACGGTAACTGACCTTGATGCTGTGTTCCTCCTCACTGAAGGTGTTTGACAACCTGACTGAAAACATCATGAACACATACGCGCTCCATCAGCCAGCACCACACCAGCCCAACAAAAAACCACTGGTTACAGCAAATGGAGTTTAGAATGCTGTGGATAAATCTGCTTACCTTGGCAGTACACTTTCCAGGCATGTACAAACTGATGAGGTTGATGCACATACTCACATATTGCCAGACCTAGCTCAGTGTTTGGGAGGCTCCAAAGTAAAGTATGGGAGAGAAGAGATATTAGACTACCAGACTGAAGGAGTACAGAGCCACTATGCTACTGCTGACATTGTTGTATCCAGGGCCATGCCAGGAAACTGAGTCACTTCCATTTGAATTGTCTTGGGAAAATTCTGAAGATCACCTGGCAGGATAAGATAACAGACGCTGAGACCCTTTATCAAAATAAACTGCCAAACATTCTACTGCAGAGAGCGCAACTCTGATGGGCAGGCTACACTGTCTGAATGCCAAATGTATGCTTGTCAAAAAGATTATTTTACAGAGAACTCACACAGGGCAAGCATTCACATAGTGTCAGAAGCGACACAAGGACACTCTCAAGGTCTCTCTGAAGATCTTTGGAATCAATTGTGTGGCATGGGAGACACTGGCACAGGGCCACCCAGCATGGCTTGCCCCCATCAGAGTAGGTGCTGTTTTATGAGCAAAACAGAACTGAAGTAGCTCAAAAGAGATGCAAGATGAACAAATTTAGAGAATCCACTCTCAAATGTTCACACGGATTATTTGTGCCCGACCTGTAGAACACTCTGAGCTTGCTAGTCAAATGCGCTATAACTTGACTCTAGCATAGCAACGTCACTTTGGTCCTCTTCTAGAATGAAGAACAACCACCAACCATTACTAGGTATGTACCCCAAAGAGATCAAAGGAAAAGGGCCCCTACGTACAAAATATTCACAACAGCTTTTTGTGATGCCAAAGGATTGGAAGTTGAGGAGATGCCCATCATTTGGGGCATCGCTGAACAAGGTGTGGTATATGAGAAAAGTGATTATTAATAACCAATTATTTGGGGAGATGCAGTTTCCTCCCTTCTTCTAAAGTTCTCATTTCCATGGCTCAGCCTCTGAAGGACAGAACTGATTGACAACAGGACTGACATTCTCCTTAATCTATGCATTGCTACCCCACCCAACCTAAACAAGGTGAAATTACAGCCCATTATGTTCTGTGGGGGCATATAGATCCTTTGTCCAGATTTCCCCTAGGCTGAGGGTGATTTGGAATGAAATGTTGTGATCAAACTCACATCCCCAATCCCCTCATTAGGATAGGTCCTCTCTTTATTATATTCATTCTCTCTCACTGTTAACCAATCAGAGTTGATTATCACCCTCAGGAACATCCACTCTTCCAAGGACATATAAACTGTGAGCCCACCACCATGAGTCATCTTTGGATTAAGAGAGATGGTCAAATGATCATCCTTTATATTAATAATATGCTAGCGTGATTAATAAAATGACTAAGTACTCAGAAACTATGTCTCTTGAACATTTTAAATGTCACAATAGTGTCAGAATACTGTTGCGCTATAAGAAATAATAGAAAATGGTTTCAGAAAAACCTATGACTTATATAAACTGATACACCAAAGTGAAGTGAGCAGGACCAGGAGAACATTGTACACAGTAACAGCAACATTGTAACATTGATCAATTTTGAAAGACAGCTACTCTGATCAAGACAGTTACCCACAACAATTCCAAAGGACTCATGAAGGAAAAATGCTATCCTCCTCCAGAAAACAGATAAACTCTGAGTGCGGATTGAAGTAGATTTTTTTACCCTTTATTTTCTCACTTTTTTTTTTTTTTTTGCAACATGCCTAATGTGGAAATGTTCTGCATGATTTCACATGTATAATGGGTACTGTATTGCCTTCTCGGTGGGTGAAGAAGGGACTGGAGTAAGAGAATCTGGAACTCTAAATTTTTAAAATGAATATTAAAAAATAAACATTTTTAAAAAGACACACTCCCCCTTCTAGGTCTTCACGGCTGCTTTGTACTCAGCAGCTGAGGAAGTGACAACAGTAATCAAAAGTCCTTAGTCCGCTGAGCCAGACAAGACATGAGAAATGTCCATTTTTAAGGGAAAACAAGCTTAACCTGCATGGGGGTGGGAGGAGAGGTATAATACAGTGCCTTTCCACATTACACTCAAAAGATTTCTCTATGGAACTCTCCAATGTTTGGTAAGCCGTGTGCTCAGAAGATGGGCTTTCCTGCATAAATTACATTATGAGACTTCACTCCAGTATGAATACGCTGATGTTGAGTAAGGTGTGTGCTCTGGCGGAAGACCTTCCCGCATCGATTACATCCATAAGGCTTCTCTCCAGTATGAACCCTCTGATGTCGAGTAAGCTCTGTGCTCAGTCGGAAGGCCTTCCCACACTCATTACATCCATAAGGTTTCTCTCCAGTATGAATTCTCTGATGTCGAGTAAGCTCTGTACTCAGTCGGAAGGCCTTCCCACATTCATTACAATCATAAGGTTTCTCTCCAGTATGAATCCTGTGATGTACAGTAAGATGGCCCCTCTGCCTGAAGGACTTCCCACATTCATTACATTTGTGAGGCTTTTCTCCAGTATGAATACGCAGATGCTGAGTAAGCTGTGTTCTCACTCGGAAGACCTTTCCACATTCTTTGCATCCATAAGGTTTCTCTCCGGTATGAATTCTCTGATGTTGAGTAAACTGATCTTTTTGGTAGAAGGCCTTTCCACACTCATTACATTCATGAGGTTTCTCTCCAGTGTGAATTCTCTGGTGTCTAGTAAGCTGCCCTCTACGGCGAAAGGCCTTCCCACATTCATTACATCCATAGGGTTTCTCTCCAGTATGAATCCTCTGATGCCTTGTAAGTGATTCTCTCAGGCAGAAGGCCTTCTCACATTCATGGCATTCATAAGGTTTCTCTCCAGCATGAATTCTCTGGTGCTGAGTAAGCTGGGCACTCCAGAAGAAGACATTTCCACATGCATTGCATACTAAAGGTTTCTTATCAGTATAACTCTTTTGATGGGAAGCAAAAGAAAAGCTGTGATTGAGAGGCATCACACATTCACTAAATTCAGAAGGTTGCAGTCCAGTGTGAATTCTCTGATGTTCCACGAACTGAACATCCTGGGTAGAAATTTCCCCCAATTCATTACAGTTAATGGTTTTCTCTTCCACCTCATTTGTCTCAAAAGAATGAATGAATTGGCTGAGGCTGACAGCTCTCTCAAAGTCATTATAGTCATTAGGTTGCTTTCCAGCACACAGTCTATAATATTCAATAAAATCTGGGTTAGAAATGAAGGATTCTCCACACTCATTATCATGGGAAACTATCTCCTTTGAGGATATTCTTTGACATTTACTTGGATCTGAAGACACAATGAAGTTCCTTCCATGTGCATCACATTTGTAAAGACTCTCTGCTATAGAGAGCCTCTGTTTTGAGAACAGCATTAGTTCTAGCCTGATGCTTTGGCCACAGTCACAGCCTCTTGCTTTAGTGGGAGTTTTCATCTGGGTCATTTTTACTTCTTGAAAATTCTTCTCTTCACTGCTCTGCTTGAGTCTATGTTGGGAGGAAGGCTCCATAAAAATGACCATCTCTGGAGGGAAGTCCTTGGTTTCAGGCCTGGATTCCCCATCTGAAAGACAAAGAAAATGGAAATATCATCTATATCTACCTGCTGAACACTTAATCCTATTTTGTGTCTCTTTTTGACACAAGAGGAAATTAGGTGCCAGATTTGCAATCAGGAAGACCTCGGCTCAAATCCAGCCCCAGATCCTTACTAGTTACATGACCCTGGGCAAGTCATTTAATTGCTGCCTTCCTCAGTTTCCTCCTATGTAAAACAGGGTTCACAATAGCACCCGCCTCTCAAGATTGTTGTGATGATCAAATGAGATATTTGGAAAGCATTTCACATAGTGCCTGGCAAATAGTAGGCATTCAATAGATGCTTACTGCGTTCCAAACAATTATTACCACAATTTAAAGGATAGAATTAATGATACCTAGTTGGTATTATCACTCATAGGTTTTGAATGCTTCCACACTGATCCCCGCATTAGTTTTTGGGAGGTAAAGAAAAGTTATTAAAGTGTCTAACCCTATCCTCTGGCTCAGAATAATTTAGTGATTTGCTCAAGGTCACACAACTAATTAGTAGCAGAGGCACAGCGCAATCCTGGGAAGTCTCCTAACCTCCATCCTCCTGGTCGTCTTGCCACACCTCACTGCTGCCTTACCATGGAGTCAGTTCACAGGATCTGGAAATATGCAAGCAGAGCCTAGGTGACCATCACTTACAGAGAACCTGGAACGGATGCCTGCATTGAGGGAGAGGGATTCATTGACCTGCCACTCAGTGTCCTTGCAAAGTTCAGATTCTAAATCTTCTTTTTGCTTAGAACAATGATAGGAATTAATGGCTGATTCAGCCTGTTTCTTTCCCATGTGGATGGGGACTCAGGATATGATATCTGAAGGCAACAGAGACTATCAGTCAATTTTAAGAGACACAGATTAAAGCCTAATTGAGATCTGATGGACACAGAGCAAGGACGGAGACTGGGATGATGACCAAATCAAGTCTTACTGTAATATGACTAGGGTTTCTGCTCACGTCTTCCTTTGTCAATCTTGTATTTAATGACTTTCTGCATATTTTGTACATATCCTAGATCTAGTTACTATGCACCTACTTAGCTGTGTGCACATTTCCTCCAAGAATACAGAAACCCCTTGAGAACAGGCATTATTGCACTGTTTTCATATCCCCAGCACCCAGAACTTTGCCTGGCACATCATAGGTGCTTAATTAAAAGGTTCAGAAACTGATAAGTATAGTCAATTCTGTTTTAACTTTGTTTGGAAAGTTCAAATTTGTTCCAACATATTAGTGAATAATCTGACTTCTATTCAAATTTCACATTTACTTATGCAAGATTTTGTACACAAGACACAGTGAAAATGCAGAAAATAGCACTTTACACTAGCTCACAAAATTTGCAAACTTCTGATGCCCACTTCCACATGCAAACTTTAGGTCTTTTTCCAGGTAGATGCCATAGTCATCATATCTTCTGGTGCAGTAGAAGCTGTGGGTGAAGTGCTGGTCTGTACCCACAAACTCCACCCCCTCCCACATGCTGCCATGGCCAAGGCCCATCCCTTTCACTCTGAAGTTGCAGCACACTGCGGCCATCCTCTTAGTAGCAGTTGACATCACCAGCATGGGTCCTGTGGGACCCAGGGTGCAGGCTGAGCAGCAGCCTGAGACCTCAAATAGCAGCAGTATTTTATTATATTTATGCATTTTTCAATCACTTAACTCATATAAAGCTATGCTACCATTATTATTGTTTGTATTTTTTTTGTCAATGACAAAGTTTTGAGTGTTGTCCCCTTAACCCCCGTAAGCCTTGGTAGTTTTTACGGTGATTTGCAAAGCACAATGACTTTTAGGAACATCTATGTTGAGTTATAGTACTGACTGCCCCCCATGTTACTATAGAGATATATAGCTTAGCCATCAGACTGCTAACAGATTTAACATGAAGATTTTTTTCCCACCAGTTTTTTTACATTGTTTTTTCTTGGCTTAAAAGTTTTTAAATTTCATGGGATTAAATGTTCCTTACTTTTTTATTTTGGTTGTGAATTCTTTCCCTAACTATAGGTGTGAAAGGGGCATCATTCCATCCAATGACAATTCTTTTTTTCTAGTTTTTTGTTTTTTGTTTTGGACAAGGCAATCAGGGTTAAGTGACTTGCCCAAGGTCACACAGTGAGTATCACATGTCTGAGGGCAGATTTGAACTCAGGTCCTCCTGACTCCAGGGCCAGCACTTTATCTACTGTACCACCTAGCTGCCCCTGATAATTCTTTTTTTTCCCTGAAAATATTACTTAGGTAAGGGATTCATTTGAAATTTACTGTGGTAAGATGCTGGTCTGTCTCTCTTCTCAGTCAGGATATTGGCCATTTTCTCCAGGATTCTTGTCAAATAAGGAAGAATTTCTCCAATTGTTTGTGTTTCTAGAGTTGTATTATTTTTTGCAGGAGGGAGAACGCTCCAGTGGAAGGAGATAATGGCTGATGTGAGCGAGATGGTAGGAGAAAGTCCCCAGCTCGTTTCTGAATCCCCATCTCCAAGCCCACATGAAACTTGAGATCTGGCCATCGGGCATGCCAAGTCACTGCCAGAGATGGTGGAGACGTGACAGAGATGGCACAAGACGGAAGGGGATCTTCAAGAATGGGAAGGAAGGCAATCTGAAAATTCCAGGCCAAGGAGTTTGACTCCAATTTCTGGCAAAAGTCCAACATACATTTTCAAAGTAGCACTGAGTGCCCAGATGGATCACCAGGTTGTGAGGATCACATGGACAAGCCAGCCAGGGCCTTCCAAATTCACCGTATTTCCTCATTTCTCCCGCTGGAGACTAGGAGAACTCCAATTACCAAATAGGGCTTACAGAAATAAAGAAAGAGCAAAATAATTGGGGAAGGCTGTTGGCATGTGTGGTTCATGCATCCCCTTGAAACAATGACATGACCTGAAATGATCTAAAAACTGAGTGTCACAGACCAATCAAATCAACAAGGAGATGCTTGCCAGAACCTGAAAATCAACAATAAAAGTCATCAGAATAACTACATGAGGAATTCAAGGAAAGTAATACAAAGCCTTGAGATTAAGGGACCCCTAAGCATTCCCCTATCTCGAGTTATCAATGAGCATTTTAAAGCGCTAGTTCTGCATCAGGCAGTCTGAGATGTAGGCTTGGAGCTCAGAAGGGAGACAGGGGATAAACACTTAAACCTGAGTCACCTTAAGAGATGATGAAGACAATGATGTAAACCATGACAACCAATGGAATTCCCCCAAGTGACAGAGCATAGAAAGAAAAGAGAAGATGGACCAGGACAGAACCTTGAGAAAATCACAAAACCATGTTGACTGGGTCCATTTCACTTTTGTGTTTCATAACTTCAACTGAGCCACCACTAAAGAGAGGCAATGTGTTTTACACATCCCTAATTAAGTCACTCTCCTACTCACCATAGCACTTCTAAACCTTTACATCTCTCCTCAAACCTCCCCTGGCTCCTGCTGTCCCGTAGCCTCTCAAATGAGAATCTTGCCTATTCTACTGAAAACAATGAAGTTGTTTACCATGAGCTCCCTCTTCTCTCCTCCTGCACATCTCACATCACCCAGATACCTTCTGCCACTCTCTCCTCAACCCATCTCACTCAAAGAGGCAATCCTTTTCCTTGTTAAGACAAACCCCTCTGCATGCACAAGTGTTCCCATTCCATGTCCTCCAACAGAATGCCTCCTCTATCACCCCCACTCTCTTAGTTTCAACCACCTCCTGCCTACTGGCTCTTTCCCTACTACCTACAAACAGACCCATTATCTCCCTCATCCTCAAAAACCCTCACATGATCCATCCCCACTATCATCCCATATCTCTCCTCCCTTTTGTGGCTAAATTTGGGAATGCTGTCTACAATAGATACTTCTACTTCCTTTCCCCTCACTCTCTTCTCAGCTCTCTGCAATTTAAGCTTCCAATCTCATCAATCAAAACTGCTACCTCCAAAGTTACTAACAATATCTTTATTTCCAAATCTAATGTCCTTTTCTCAGTCCTCATCCTTCTTGACCTTTTAACAGCCTTTGACAGAAATAAAGGAAGACCAAAATAACTGGGGAAGACTATTGGTATGTGTGGTTCATGCATCCCCTTAAAAAAATGACATGACCTGAAATGATCTAAAAACTGATTTTTAGGATGTTTTTCTCTTCTCTTTTATACTCTTTCCTCTAGTTGTCTGTGATCCAACTATTTCCTGAGTCTCCTCCTGAGAGCTCCTCAGTCTTCTTTACTGGACCTTCATCCAAGTCATGGCTACTAATCGTGAGTGGTCCACAGGTCTTTGTCCTGGGCCGTCTTCTCCCTCTATACTATTTTGCTTGATGATGTCTTCGGTTCTCATAGATTTATCATTTCTATGCTGATGATTTTGAAATATACTTATTCAGCCCTAACCTCTCATCTCCAAACACCTATTGGACCTCTTGTACTGGATGTTCCATAGATACCTCAAACTCACTATGTCCAAAACTGAACTCAACATTTTTCATTCTAAACTCCCCCCCCCACACACACACACAATTTCCTTATTAGTCAAGGTCACCTTTATCTTCCCAAGCCCCAAGCTCATAGCCTAGATGTCATTCTAGACTCCTACGGCATCCCCACAGCCATTCTGTTGCCAAGTCCTATCTATCTCTCCAACATGCCCCCTTCTCTCCTCTTTGGTGAAGGTCCTCATCATGCCTGAACTATTGCAACAGCCTTTGGGTGGTTCTGTCTGCCTCAGTCTCTCCCCACTCCAGTCCATTCTCCAGCCACCGAAGTGATTTCCCTAAAGCACGGGTCTGATCGTGTCACATACACCCCCACCCAATGACATCTAGTGGCTCCCTATCACCCCTGGAATCATAGAAAATATTCTTATTTGGTGTTTAAAGCTCTTCATCATGTGCCCTTCCTATCTTCTGAACTTTTCACACTTTATATTCTCCCATGTGCTCTTCAATCTAGCCCCCTCATTCCTTTAAGAAGAAACTCCTGTCTCCTGAGTGCGCATTTTCACTGACATTCCCTCCTGGTTTCCTTCAAGTCCCAGCTAAAATCCCCTCCCCCTTTCTTTCCTAGTCTCCTTAATTCTGGTGCCTTCTCTCTGATTATCTCCAGTCTGTCTTTTCTACAGCTTGTTTGTCCGCATGTCATCTCCATCATACTTCAAGCTCCTTGAGTCTTTCACCTTTCTTTGTAGCTCCAGCAGCCAGTGAAGTGCTTGGAATGTAGGTGCTTAATAAATGTTTAATGACTGATACTCAGGGGAATGACAAGAATCAACAAAGGTCACTGAGAAGGAATGGTCAGACAGGAGAACCAGGAGATAACAGTGTCACAAAAAGCAAGTGAGGAGGGACACAATGAGTGTCAAAGGCTGCAGAGAAATCAAGGATGAAGTCTGAGAAAAGACCATCACACTCAGCAATTAAAAGAGCCCCGACAACTTTGGAGAGAGCAGATTCAGGCCCAAAAAATAGTCAGAAGAAAGACTGCAGAGGGGTCAAAAGGAGGAAGAAAAGGCTCTAAGGAAGACAGGACCTGGGAAGGGGAAAAGGAAGAAGGCAACATATAGTAGGGATATCTAGCAACATCATCTTAGTAAAATACACACAAAAGTGAGCATTCCAATGGGGGTTTGGAGATAAGAGAGGTAATCTGTTACTTCCAGCCAAAGTTCCTATACACACTGAGAGATAAGTAGAGAGAGGAAGGGGAGGGAGGGAGGGAAGGGAGAGACATAGAAAGGAAGGAGAGTGGCTACTGGGGATGTTCCATCACTCAAAGGCAGAAGAGAAATACAACACAACTTGAGACCTGGATGTGTGTTTGGGTCACTGGCATCAGGCAAATGATGAGATAGTTGAGGATGAACAAACATGAAGCATCAAGTGCCATCATGGGCTGAGGACCTGGCCAAATAAGGCAAAGGCTCACCAGTCAAAAGCCAGGACCTCTGGGAACCCAAGTACCAGGTAAAGAGAGGGCAGCACTACTGGGAAGTGCTAAAGCTGGGTTTTCCCTCTATTAACCACCTGCACATTTTCTCTGACTGACTGTAATGATTCCATTGAATTTCCTCTTATGACTTCTTGAAATGTGGTATTGAGGTGTTTATGTTGTGTTTTTTTCCACAATGCTCCTCTGTTCAGCTAAGTGGCGCAGTGGAGAGCGCTGGTCATGGAGGCAGGAAGAATCATCTTCCTGAACCCAAATCTGGCCTCAGAAACTTACTAGTTGTGTGACCCTGGGCAAGTCGCTTTACCCTGTTGGCCTCAGTTTCCTCATCCATCAAATGAGCCGAAGAAGGAGATGGCAAATGCGTCCAGTATCTTTGCCAAGACAGTCCACATAGGGTCACGAAGAATCAGACACAATTGGAAATGACTGAACAACAAGCTCTTCTGGAAACACCATGATTCTTAAGACTTTCCTCAGCTCTCCATAATCATGAAATACCCAGAAAAAAGGCTTCTCACCACCACGCTACTCAGAATCAGCCAAGATACTCAAACTCACAGATAAAATCAAACCAATACGTGGAATGCCTAATATTACTGATAGGAGAATCAGCCAAACTCATTCCTCCATAACCCTAAACCTATAGCTATGGAGGAATGACAGACATTAGGCCTCTTCCCATCTGGCTCCTTAAACACCACCTTCAAGGTCCCTCCTCCCCAAAAGTAAAAAAAAATACACATACATACATATAGATACACACACACACACACACACACATACACATATTATATATATAAAATAAATTTGGCCACACTTACTTGGAGCTACCACGAATCTATCTCCTCCCCAAATCCTTGTACAATACCATTTCTAGACCCTCATTGAGATAAATGGTTTCCTCACCAGAAACTTCTCCTTTCTTAGATGATTATTCTATAAATCAAGATTACCAAATCCACAGGTTGGCTCCTCCTATATACTACTGTATCTCTCATTTCTATTTTTATTGTGACTTTAACATCAACACACATGAACATTCCAATATACAAAGAACACAGATTGCATGTGAAACTGTAAATCTCTAATGTGAATAGACTGTTTTTAAAGCGTGTTAACTGAAACATACAATGTCACACCTCACAAAAAAATAAAAATCCTCCTTTATAGAACATAATTATAGCAAAACAAGTTCACATGTTGGCTCTGCCTGACAACATATAACATACATCTCATCCTGCACACCCCTTTACTGCCAAAAGGTAGGAACAATGCTTCATTACCAGTCTTCTGAAGTTGATTGGTCATTTCACTGATTAGTCTTTAGGTCTTTCAAACCTCTTTCCCATTCCATTTTCTCTCAAGATACTTAAGATGTGGTCTAAACAGAGGAAAGTAATTTGGAAATGTCTCCCAATTCTTAGAAGCTCTGCTTCTAAAAGCAAAATGCTGACTTAAAGATTCTCTTCCAACTACGTCTCCCGTTATCACATCAAAATTGTGAAAAATGCCATGAAACCATGTTTGATGACCCTCCAGAGTTACTATCAGGTGAGACACAAGAGGGAGATAAATCCTCCCAAAAGTCACTTATCTTTGTTACTCTCATAAGGAGATCCAGCACCAAGTCCAAGGTAAAGAGATTCCTGGAGAGTTCTAGCTGCATCTAGCTCCTCAACCCTGCAGAGACACTGGACACTAGACACATAAGATCTATAACCACTCAAAAGTGTGATCTAACCATAGTGAAAAACCATGTAGATGAGGAACATCTTTTGTCTAGATGCTAAGTTAGGTGGACAGCCTATAGAGCTTGACCATCAGTGTATGTGCACATGTGTGCATTTATATATGTATGGTTACATACAGACACACAGACATACACACCTTAGAAAGACACTGCAAGTAGGCAAAAAGGATGAACTGAGCCCAGAATTAAACGACCTAGCACACAGGGTATCATCTCTTCCTAATCAAATACATGAAAATATTAACAGCACTTTTGTAGTGGTAAAACAGTGGAAACTGAGTCAGTGTAAATTGATAGGAGGAATGGCCAAACAGTGGCACCAAATGTAATGGAATATTATTCCATGGCATGAGAAATTGTGAATACGAGGAATTCTAAAGACTTGTAGGCACTGCTACAGAGAAATAAAAAATGGAACCATTGAAACTGACACAATAATCTTCCCAGTCTAGTCCTGCCTTCTAGAGCAGGAGTTCTAAACTTGGGGCCAAAGAGCTTCCAAAAATTTTTTTTCATGATATATCAATATAATTGATTTCCCTTGTAACCCTATGGATTTTATGTTATTCATTCAGCAACATTATCCTGAGGAGTCCATAAGCCAACAGGTACCCATGTCAACACAAGAGATCTATGACACAAGAAAAGGTGAAGAATTCCTGGGCCAAAGGAACATCCCCAGAATATTTGATACTCATAAAATTTTTATCGAGAATTAATTGCCTTGTGTGGGATAAAGGATTCATTCCAGCAGAAAGTCTTCTCAAAGTCATTACAGCTAATACTGTGAGGCCAACAAAGCTCTGTATTTGGTAAAAGATCTTCTGTTATCCTTGTCCTTTTGTCTACTTTGGCATTTGTGCTATTGGGTGAGCTGTCCAGTCAAGCAGGTGGCCTTCTCACAGTGGTTTCTCTCACCTATAAACATTAATTTCCTAAGTTTTCTCTCCAGGATGAATTCTCAGGTAGGGGCTGAACAGCCTCCACACGGGTCTTCCCACATCATCACATTTCTAAGGTTTCTTCTAATATGAACTCTTTAATGGCAAGTAAACCCTGTGCACAGGGAAGGCCTTCTACCTAGATTTTTCATAAAGTTCTTCTCCAGAAGGACTTCTCTTCTGCTGAATAAGGCGATTTTTGAGGTGGAAAGCCTTCCCAAAGTCATCACATTGATATAGTTCCTTTCTAATAAGAATTCTCTGACGTGGAATAAATTCTGTGCTCAGATGGCAACTCTCCTACATATATTTTTAAAAGGTTTCTCTGTAGTATAAATTCTCTGATGTTCAGTAACCTGTCTTCTGAAGCCAAAGACCTTGTCAATTCATTAGATTAATAAAGCATAATTCTGGTATGAATTTTCTCGTGTTGACAGTGATCTCTTGGTGGAAGACCTTCCCATATTCACTCATAGTTTCTCTCCCATAGGAATATTCTGATGTCTGACAAGATTTATCTTCACATAGAAGACTTTCCCACACTCTCTGCAGTCATTAGGTCTCTATTCTATGAATTCTTTCATGTTGGATAAGATGTATTTAAAAAAGACACATAACACTTACTAGCTGAGTGACCCTGGGCAAGTCACTTAACCCCAATTGCCTCTCTCACACACACACACACACACACCTACACAATTTTTTTTAAAAAGATGTATTTAAAAAGAAAGTCTTTCTCACATTGATTGCATCTAATAGGTTTCCCTCCAATACGGATTCTATGGTGTCAGGTACACTCTGTTCCAACAAAAAGTCTTCTGAAATTTGTAACATTCATTTAACACTTCCGTCCTGCATGTCTCCTCTGATGTTAAACTCTCTGGCTGAAGGGCCCCCCTCACCCCCACCCCCCAACATTCATTACATTCATAGGATTTCTCTTCAGTATGAATTTTCTCATTCATACCATCCTCTTCAGCTAAAGATCTTCTTATACTGATTACATTCATAAGTTTTCTCCCCAATATGAACATGATGTTCAGTAGGCTGTCTTCTCCCACTGAAGGCCTTCTCAACTTGATTACATTCGTAAGATTTCTCTCCAATATGAATTCTCTGGTGTCTTGTACACTCTTTGCTGAGGCGGAAGGCCTTTCCACATTCTTTACATTCCGGTTTCTCTCCAGTATGAATTCGCTCATGTACAGTAAGCTGTGTCCTGTGGCCAAACGCCTTCCCACACTGATTACATACATAAGGTTTCTCTCCGGTATGAATTCTTTGATGTATAGTGAGATATGTACTGTGGCCAAAGGCCTTCCCACATTCATTACATTTATAAGGTTTCTCTCCAGTATGAATTCTCTGATGTTGAATAAGGTGATGTCTCAGGCGGAAGGCTTTCCCACAGTCTTTACATTCATAAGGTTTCCCTCCAATGTGAATTCTCTGGTGTCTGTTCAGATCTCTGGTCATATAAAAGGTCTTCCCACATTCTTTACATTCATAAGATTTCTCTCCTGTATGAATTCTCTGATGACGGATAAGATCTGTACTCACAGAGAAAGTCTTCCTACATTCTTTACACTGATAAGGCTCCTCTCCAGTATGACTTCTCTGATGCTGAATAAGGTGATCTTTTAGGCGGAAAGCCTTCCCACAGTCATTACATTCATAAGGTTTCTCTCCAGTATGAATTCTATGATGTCCAATAAGATGTCCTTTACGACTGAAAGCCCTCCCACATTCAGTACATTCATAAGGTTTCTCTCCAGTATGAATCCTTTGATGTCGAGTAAGATGTCCTCTCCGGCTGAAAGCCTTCCCACACTGATTGCACTCATAAGGTTTCTCACCTGTATGAATTTTGTGGTGTTGAATAAGATGTCCTCTCCCACCAAAGGCCTTACCACATTCATTACATTCATAAGGTTTCTCACCAGTATGAATCATCTGATGTCGAGTAAGTTGTCCTCTCCCACTGAAGGCCTTCCCACATTCATTACATTCATAAGGTTTCTCTCCAGTATGAATCCTTTGATGTCGTATGCGCTCTTTGCTCACGCGGAAGGCCTTTCCACATTGATTACATTTATAAGGCTTCTCTCCGGTATGAATTCTCTGATGCTGAGTAAGATCTGTTCTCACACAGAAAGCCTTCCCACATTCATTACATGCGTAAGGTTTCTCTCCAGTATGAATTCTCTGGTGTAAAGTAAGCTTGGTTTTGTAGCCAAAAGCCTTCCCACATTCTTTACATTCAAAAGGTTTCTCTCCAGTATGAACTCTCTGATGTACAGTAAGCTGTGTCCTGTGACCAAAAGCCTTCCCACATTCTTTACATTCATAAGGTTTCTCTCCAGCATGAATTTTTGGATAAGAAGTTAGAGATGAACTATGGGCTAAAGACTTCCCATATTCATTGTGTTCATGAAGTTTTTCTCCAGTGTGAACTCTCTGGTATCCAATCAACTGTATATTCAAGGGAAAAGTCTTCTCAAATTCATCATATTCAGAGGTTTTCTCTTCAATGTCAATTGCTTGATTTAAACTAATGGATGGGCTTAGTTTGATGGCCTTCCCATATTCATTATGCTCATGAAGTTGCTGTCTATTATACAGTCTATGATAGTCAATACACTCTGATTTAGAATTGAAGGAATCCCCACATTCATCATACTTAGAAAACATTTCCTTTGAGCAGATTCTACTACATTCTGTATCACACTTGTGGAGAGTTTTTTCCATAGACACTCTCTGCTGTGAGAAAAGCTTTGGTTCTGGCCTGGAGCTCTGGCCATAATTGTGCCATTCAGGGCCCTTCACTACTTGCTGAGGATTTCTCTCCTCAATGCTCTGCTGCCTCCCTAATCTGGCACCACGTGCCCAGGCTTCTTTCCAGCTGGAGACACAGAGACCATGCCTCCTGAGTCTGTCCTGGCCTGATGACTGCTCCACAGAAATGCCCAGCTCTGGGGGTGACTCCTTGGTTTCAGGCCTCACCTCCCCATCTGAAAGAAATAAAGAAAATGGAAACATCACCTGTACCCACCTGCTGTACACTTAGCAGTCCTCTTTTGTGTCTCTTCCTGAAATAATTATTGAAAAACTTTAAAGGGTAGGGAAAAAAATGGGGTCTTTCTTATGTTTGTCAGATTATGCAGAGTTTAGGAAAAACTTTCCCACTGGTCCACACCACAACTGTGGGAGGAACGGAGGACAGCGAGTACATTAAATGAGAAACCTGAGGATCAGAACGATTCAGTGACTTGCTCAAGGTCACACAACCAAGTGGCAGAGGCACAGCGCAATCCTGGGAAGTCTCCTAACCTCCATCCTCCCGGTCTTCTTGCCACACCTCACAGCTGCCCTACCATGGAGTCAGCTCACAGGATCTGGAAAGATGCAAGCAGAGCTGGATGACCATCACGTGCGGAGAACAGGGAAAGAATGCCTGCTTTGAAGGAGAGGGGCTCGCTGGCCTGCCCCTCAGTGTCCTTGCAAAGCTCAAATTCTAATCTTCTTTCTGCTTAGCATGATGACAGGAATGAATGGCTGGTTCAGCCCGTTTCTTCCCCGTGTGGACGGGGACTCAGGCACCTCAGGCTGTCAGTCTGTTTTAAGATACACAGATTAGAGCCTAATTGAGCTGACTGATGGATACAGAGCAAGGATGACGACTAGGGTGTCAAAGAAGGCTAGTGGCACTAGCTGACATCTGAACACAACAAGGAAATGCCAGTTCGTCTTCAGTCCCAGGACGCATGGCTTATTAACTGCACTGCTCAGAGTTCTGACTCTTTTCAAAGTTGTTCTTCTCTACAATGCTGTTGTCAATGTATAAATTGTTCTAGATCTGCTCAATTCCCTCTCCAACTGTTCAGAGAGGGAACTATATTTCTCCTGAAACTGTCCGTTGTGTCATTTCTTAAGACTCTTCCACTCCATTTATACAACACTTGGTCTTTTCCCAATATGTGGTTACCCCCTGAGCTTCCCATTTTCTGCTACCACTAAAGAGCTGCTACAAATATGTTCACACACGGGTCCTTTTCCTCTTTCTTTGACCTCTTTTAGTATAGGTCTAGCAGTTAAGTCAGTCAAATAAACATTTATTAAGCACTTACTGTGTGCTGGGTACTCTGCTCCACACAGGGGATACACAAAAAGGGGAAATGATAGTCCCTGCCCTCAAGGAGCTCACAATCTGATCTCAGAATCGTTGGTTTAGTGTTTAGTCATTTAAGGGGCATTGTTACCAATTCCTTTCCAGAAGGGTTAGGTCAATTCACAATTCTGCCAACAGCGCCGTGGCGTGTTTCCCCACAGCTCCTCCAACAGTCACCATTTTCTTCTTCTGTCATCTTTGCCAGTCTGAGTGATGTGAAGTGGAACCTCAAGGTTGCTTAAATTTCCATTTTTCTGATTATTAGTGATTAAGTATACCTGATCATAGCCTTTGACCATTGATCAATTAGAGAATGGCTCTTGGTTTTATAAATTCCAATCAAATCCTTATCTATGCTTGATAACACACAAATATATAACTTACAATGACTTTTTTTTCTGTTGTCAGTTTCCCTTCTAATTTTAATAACATTAGATTTGTTTGTATGAAAATTTTTACATTTTACAGAATCAAACTTGTCCATGTTATCTTCTCTGACCACCTTCAACCACCTGTCAGGCCATGAACCAACTCCTTCCCTCTCCACAGACCTGAGAGGTTACTCCTTCCTTATTCCTCTACTTTACTGATGATGACAGCTTTTATATCTTGGTCATGTACCTACTTGCAAAGGACATTTCTCTGATTATTATTGCAAAATGAACACAGGTGATTTGGGAAGGTTAATTTTGTATGTTGGCTGCAACATTGATCACCTAAGCTGTTGTCTCCATTAAATGTTTTGGTTGAGATCAGGGCATTTTTTAGATATTTTTTATCAAAATATTTTACCTATGAAAATTTTACCTTCAAGTATCCTGGCCTCTTCATTTCCAATGTTAAGCAAGCTAACAGGTCTTTCTCTTTTAAATTGGCACTCATCTTTTTTTCTGTTAAAAAAATATATGTTTTGTTATATGGAATAGCTCTCTGAGTGGAGGTAAGGGAAAAGAAAGGGATAAGGGGGAAACTTGGGCGATGTAACAACCAAAATTATCAACAAAAAACTTTTACAATTAATAAATAGGCACTCGGAGATATCAATCTAAGGGCTATTTCAGCTACACGCATAAATTTCTACATGTGCTACTGTCATTCTCCTTTAAATATTCTGTTGTTTTCAATTCTTCATTTAACCCTAAACATTTAATAAACCATTTTCAGTTCCTATCTAGTTTTCTAACTTTTATTCACATAATTTCACGCTGATTTCATTATAGTATGAAAACAGTTTGTCTCATTTCTCCCTTACCAAATTTTGTTAAAGGACCTCTCTTTGAAATAGTGTTTGGTTCTTAGAAGCATTCCATTATCTGCCTTGTTTTTTCCATACACAAACCAATTCTAATGGAATAGTCAGATCTCGGGGTTCTTTGTTGTTAATACAAGGTCGTCATAAGATAATAGCAGAGTGCAAAAGTCCAAATGTGTGTGTATATACATATATGCGCATGTATGTGTGTGCATGTATCACCGATGTTTCTTTGAATTTATCTGTCAAACTTTTGAATACATATAACTTGAGAACTGTTAATTATTTGCTATTCATTTCCTTTTGGCTATTTTGGAATAGTCTTAGTCAACATTTTCTAGTTTGAATTCCACATTTAAATACCAATATTACCACTCCGACAATATTACAATTTACAGCAGTATGATATACTTTGAACCAGTGGTATCAAACTCAAGTAGAAATGGGGACCGCTAAACCATAGGTCAAAATCCTTGTAAGCTGCTTATTTAGTTTTTAAATGTACTATGACTTATGTTTTATTGAATTTTTATTTTGTTAAGTATTTCCCAATTACACTTTAGACAAGTTCAGACTGCACTTAGCAGTGTTATGGGTGGCCCACATGTTTGACACTTCTGCTTTAGACCAACCTCTTAATTTAAATCTACATTCACCTATGTGTGTGTATATTTACATACACACACACACACACACACATACATACATATGTATATGTATATATGTGCATATGTATTTACATATTCTTTGATAGCAGATGTTTCTCCCAGCAGGTAACATGATAGATGGGCTTTGTTTCGTGACTGTCTGTAACTTGATCTCTTAATGGGAGAATTCAGATAATTCACATTTCCTGTTTTAAGACCTAAATGGGATTTGTCAACTAACATTTTATTTTCTAGTTGCTGTTCTTAGCGTTTTCCACAGTGGAGGCTAGTTTACTTTTCTAATTCTATTTCAACTGTTAAAACTCGTAAGCGAAATGATGGTGGTTCTTGGACTGTGTTAGACACGTTTTCAATAACAAGATCGAGATGTCTAATCGTTTTTCTTATACATTTTAATCCGGATTCTATTCTAATCCTGCCAAAACCATCTATTTTATTCTAATGTGTCTGGATGTATCTTGCTGTTGAAGGGAGTACGTCCAATCTGTCCCATTCATTAAAGTGATTTGTGCCTTTTGATGACCATCAAAATCATTTTCAAATACGCCCACAGACAACAAACCCTCTCACAGAAAGGAAAAAATTGAGCACAATCCAAGAGGCTAAACGCACAACCACTTCAGAAAGTGTGTGCCCCAGGTGACCCCCATGGTCAGAGGCCGGCAGTGCCCCTCCTCTTTCCTTCAGCACAAGACTGGCCCATGTAATTTGTCAGAGCTCCTCACGCCTCAGTCTGGGTTTAGTTTTCATTTACCGCTACCCCTGTTTGGGGGGTAGGTTTTCTCAGTATCTCTCTCTGAAGTCCTCATATGTTTGTCATAGAACTCCTTGGCAAATATACCCAAGAGTGGGATCATGGGATCAAAGGGAATGCAAGAACCTAAGAGAGATTCCTTGCATAATTCCAGAGTTTTTCCAGAATGGCTGGACCATTCCACAGTCCCTCCAACAGTGAGCATAACCACCAATTACCGTCTCAGCTAATTTGACAGGAAGACATGCTTTCACGGGGCTCTGACAAAGGAGGGCTGAGTTTGAATCCTGTGACCCTGGACAAGTCGCTAGCCCGTCTGGGCTTCCAAAATGAGGAGGTGGGGCTTGATGGCCCAACGCCACACCTAGGCTCTCACTCCTCAGAGATGTCAGGAAGCTAGACTTGTTGAGGTGACAGTGAAGGGACTTCCTGGCAGACGGACAGCCTGGGCTGTTCTCCCCAGCCTGGGGAGATCCCTGTCCAGTACGCTAAAGGGGCTTCCCCGACTGACCGGTGGAGACACTGTCCCCAAGGACTCACCTGCCTGGTGCTCAGTCATTCACTCACCTGGACAGGTGCTCTGTGGCCCTTTCTCTTCTGGCCTCCAAGGAGCCTCCCCTCGCTCCAGCTGGTGAATCACTTCAGGCTTGGACATGGCCAGCCCTGCCCAAAGGAAATGGAAGTCCTGGGGTAAAGATGGAGGCATGAAAGGTCCCAACCGGGCCCAGCCCCCCACCCCCCACCCCCACATGTAACACTCCCCAGCAAAGAAGAAAACCAGGGAGCTCCCCCGCCCAGTCCAGAGTTTCTGAAGAGAATGAATGAACGTTTATGGGAGGCCTGCTTGGGGAGGAGTCTTGGGAGCTGGAAGTCAATGAGACCTCGGGCCCATCGAGGTGCCCCTATGCCAATGCTACTTGGCCCTCCAAGAAGTGCCAAGTCAACGTGATCCCTGACCTCTGGCCTCTCTGGACTGCAGCTGGGGTCCAAACAGAAGGATTTCCAGGAGGACACCCCCTGGGGCCCAGGCCAGTGTCCATGGTGGGACCCCAGGAGACAGAAGCCAGGGATTAAGGTAGACACCCACGAAGCTGAGGTAGCATGGCAGCAGGAAACAGACCTCGTCCTGGGAAGAGCAACCCAGCACAGTCAGGCGGTGAGCTGGCACTAGACAAAGAACGTCAAAATCGCGGTCCCTGCCTTCAAGGAGCGCACACTCTGACGGGAGACACAACGCACGAAGAAGGGGGCACATACAAGACACAGCCAGGGTTCACAGAAGGTAATTCTCGAGGAAAGGACTAACAGTGCGGAGGCTAGCAAAGGCCTCCTGCAGAAAGTGGGACCTGAGGATGGAAGGGAAGAGACCAAGTCACTGAGCTCCAACAAGAGCACTCTGTGAATGCAGGGGGAGGAAGGAAAGAGGGAGGAAGAGAGGACAAGGAGGGAGAATGGGAGGACAGGAAGAGAAGGGGGAAGAAGAAAGGGGAGGGAGAAGGGGGAGGAGGACGGAGCAGGAAGAAAGGGAAAAGAGGGGAGGGAGGATGGCCAAGTATAAGAGAAGGGGGAGGAGGGGAAAGAAGAAAGGGGAGGAAGGAGGGAGAAGAGAGGAGGAGAAGGGAGAACACGAAGGAGGAAGGGGGAGGAGGAGGAGAGGGAAAGAAGAGGAGAGGGAGGAAGAGAGGAAAGGAGGACAAGGAGGAGGGAGGAGGGAGAAGGGGTGACACCTAGCTTGTGACCCTGAGAGAAGAGGAAGAGTCTGATGTCCTTGACAGTAACAGAGAAATTCAGAAGTAGGGAAGAGAAGATTTTGGAGGAACAAAAAGATGTGAGCTGTCTATGGACTATCCAATTCAAGATGTCCAACAGGGAGCTGGTGAGGCTGCTAGGAATGATCCAAGGGCCTGAGACACAGCCTTGGGAACAACCCACTTACAAGGTTAATGGAGAGGAAGGGGATGGCCAGGAGATCAAGGAGGATGAGGGCTGAGTAAAGGCCTCTCGGGTCACTGGTGACTTTGGAGAGGGCAGGATGAGGCTGGGCCTGCAGTGGGGTGTTCGGAAGGGAGTGAGGGGAGAGGAAGGGGATGCAGACGGCCTCCTGCAGGAGTTTTACAAGCCAGGGGGCTGAGATGCTAGATGGCAGCTCAGACCAAGTGAGGGCTTCCTAAACACAGGGCAGACCCAGGGGTCACCGAGGCAGTAAAGAAAAAGGAACGTGGCGCCTGCACCTACTTTCAGGGTTTGTCTCAAAGGAGGGAAGAGGGATACCCTAGTTTAGCAATGAGAAAAAGAGGAAGGGTCTTAGCATTTCTCCTACAATTAGGGTGTGCGAAAAGGAGAGGCTGGCCATGAACATGAAGCATCCTCTCCTCTCAATGGCCGCAGGAAGGCTAAGCACCCAGGAGTGCAAGAAGGGCAGGCAAGCAGGCCCGGGGCAGGGAGGGAGATCTGCACTCCAGAGTTACAGGCCAATGCCCTCTGACCCCAGAGGGGGAAGGAGAGGGGAAAGAGTGCCATTCCATCTCTTTCCCTACTTCCTTTTTCTTTATAAAGAGAAGAGAAAGGAACATAGAAAGGAATATGATGTGAGAAAAAACACAATTCACAGTCATAAACATGGACGTGAAGGGAAGGGACTCACTCAGAAAATGGAGAAGGACAAAAAAAAACACGCTGAAAACAAAGAATTCACGCCACGTTGGGGGAAAGGGGTTAAGAGCAGCACTGATCAAGTCTCAGGTGACTGATCAGGACAACAACAAACGTTGCCAAAGGGACCAGGCCCGTGCCTCTTTTCTGCAACTTCTGGTCTCTGAGCTGCCTAAACAATCCGAGTTCAGGGGTCACAGAACTCCCAGGTATCGGAGGCAGAATCTGTATCCAAGTCTTCCCAGCTCTAAGGCCAGTCCATCATCACTAATCTGTGAGGTCCCAGTATACTTACGGGAAAGCTAATCAAACTATGGGGAGCAGACAGTAAAACAAAAATTCTTGGGGACTTCAATGTACTTCTTTGAGCTTCAGACAAATCCATCAAAAAGATAAATACGAAAGAAGTTAAACACTGAAAAGGATTTTTAGAAAGTTAGACATGAGGGTGAGAAGTGGCACAGTGGATGGAGCACTAAGCCTGCAGTGAGGGAGGCCTGAGTTCAAATCCTGTGTGACCCAGGGGTAAGTCATCTCACCTCCCTCTGTGCCTCAGTCTCCTCACCTGTAAAAAAGGGATAGAAAAAGCACCTACACTACACCTCACAGGGTTGTTGTGAGGATCCAATGACATCATACATATTCAGCACTGTGCAAATCTCAAAACACAATAGAAAAATGCATGCTATTACTGTTCTGATTGGATGGACCACCAGCCAATGGAACAGAAAGGAGTCCACATCTTTCTAAGCAGGGGGTGAATTACAAAAACTGAGCATATGAAGAAAAACAGAAATGCTAAACATGCCCTTTTCCAACCACAACACAATAAAAACTAGAATCAATTTAGGGGGACATGAGAAGAAAGGGTTCAAATGGAGATGAAGACTAAAGAAGAGAATTCTAAAGAAATGTGTGGGTGACACCTCTGGGCCACCAGGGGATGGAAGGGATGAGAGCTGCAGCCAGTATGAGTGTCTGTTTTGTTTGACTAAAGTTTGTTCGCTACAAATGAGGGCTTTTGGAAGGGAAAGGAAGAGGAGGAGGAGAGAATGAGAATGATACCCTTTTAAAAACATAAGAAAGAAAAAAACATCAATACAACATTTATCTCAACGGACACAAGAGAAAAGAAGGACGTTTGGGGCAAGGAGTGGGGGTGGGGGAATGACAATATCAGTATAGCTTTGGAATTTGCTCTAAATCAGTAATAAGATGAGAAACGCATATCAAAACAACTCTGAGGTGCCATCTCATCACTCAGCAGCCTGACAAAGACAATGCATGAGAAAAATGGCAGTTATTGGAGTGGCTATGGGAAGATGGGCATGCCAGGGCACAGCTGGAGCTGGGTCTGCAGCCCAGGTCCTTGTCCTAATGTCAGGAAGCTGTCCAGATGCCAACACAAGCAATACCACCATCAGGCATCTACTCCAAAGAGGTCAGAGAAAGAAGAAAAGGACCTCTGGGGAAGAATTCTTGACTAAACAAAGATGACAGATGATCAGAGGAGATAAAATGAAACTGGACAATTTGATGACATCAAAGTAAAAAGTTTTTGCTCACACAAAACCAAAGCAGCTAGACAGGAAATGATTAACTAGGAAAAATTCATTGTAGCCAATTTCTTTGTTAAAGGTCTGACAACCAAGCTATATAGGAAACTCACGTGAAAATTCATATGAGTTACTAAGTATAAGGCCCATTCCAAGGAAGAAATCCAAGCTATCAACAAAAATATTAAAAAATGCTCTAGTTCACTCATAATTAGAGAAAGGCAATTTTAAGGTTCCATATTTATCTGACTATAAATGACACAAAAGGAAAATGACAATCGTTGGAGGGGCTGTAGGAAAATGGGCCCACTACGGTATTCTCACTGGAGCTATTCTGGAAACATTCTGGAAAGCCATTTGGAATTATGTCCCAAATGTCCATTAAACTATGGACAACCTCTGACACAGCAATTCTGATATCAACCACAGACCACCGAGAAATCCAAGAAAAAGGAACAGGACCTATAATGAGAAAAAGATTGGTAGCAGCTCACTGTGTGGTGACAAAGTCCTGGAAATGAGGGGAATGGTGCATGAGTGTGATGGACTACTACTGGGCTGTGGGCAAGGATGAAAGCGGAGTGGGAGAACCATCCCTACAGTAATGAGCAAACCACACTAGAAATTGCTATCTAGAATGGTTGAGCCAACGACTGACCGTGATGTCAGGGGACTGTGGCAATTAAAAGGTTCATGGGACAGTTTCTTGGTAGTTTAATCATTTTATTACTAAAGCCAGCACGTTAATAAAAGGATGGTCATTTCACCATCTCTCTCTTGCACCAAAGACCATCAGGGCGGTGGGTGTATGGTTTATGTCTCCTTTTGGAAGAGGAGTGTTCAAAATTAATGAGAATGAGTCGTACAATGAGGGACTAGATCCGAACTTTGATGATGTCATCCACTTCTAAGTTCCCCCCAGCCTTGGGCAACGTATTAAAAGAATTGATGCCCTTCCCAAGCCTGAGCAGAACACAATGGCTTACGAGGGGGGTTCTGAGTAAGAAAGTCAGTCCACTCTCATTCTCAGCAATATCCTTCAAGCGACTGAACTTTTTAAAATCAAGACTTTAGAAAAAGGGGAAAACTCTGAATCTCCCCAAATCACTGGTTCCTAATAATCATTTCTCTCAAGGCCGAGGAGGAGGAAGGCTGCCTACTTCCTGACAGAGGACTGAGCGATGGACACTGTCTTACACGGCCTACACGTGAAACAGACTTTTACTTGTAATGAGACTTTTTTTTTCCTCTTTTCCAAGAGTGAGGTTGGGGTGCCCAAGAAGGGTAAGGACCAAGTTCCAAAAAGCTGGTAAGAGTGCCCTTGAAACAATTAAAGGCAAGAACAGGAGCTTGGACAAGCAGGGCAGCTCCGGAAGCTTCATGCTGAACTCAACTCTATGTCTAGGAGGAAAAGGCTCCAGGTTCCAATGTCTGCAGGAAAGGTCACTTGAATTCCATTGGCCCCGCTGCCACCTCAGTGACCACCCCATGTCTATCATCCCCTTCACAGCCAAACCACCCACACCTTGCTGCCCTCCCATATCACCAGAGGTCTCTCACTGGGCAAACCGGACGGTCTATGCTCCCGCCTCGTCCTCCCTGAACCCATGGCAGCCACTGGCACTGTGACTGGGTCCTCTGGGCATAGCTCCAAAGTAACACTCATAAGATACAGGTTAGACCATGATGCTTCTCTAGGATGAAAGGTAAACCCTGCTGACCTCTCCCAGGCTGATGCCCAATCATTGGTCTCCATTCATAGGTGACCCTCCATCCCCAGGCTCCATGCCTCTCTCCCCTCTACACTTGGCAGGATCCCTTCAAGGCTCCACACAACCCTCACTCCTTACTGATCCCCCGAGGTGCTGGTGTCTCCTCCCAGCCCCACCCCAGAAACAATCAGTATTGACTCAGCAGAGGTCAATGTCCCTCCCCAACACCTCGCACAGCGCCTGCCATATTGTCTAAGACCGAGGGAGGGACTCCCTTGGTCCAAAGCGTGTCACACAGTCACCTCTGGGCCCTCAGAGGCCAAAGGGCTTTTACCAAAGGAAATGAAGACCCTTCTAGGGCTGGGGAGGGGAGAGGAGACAGAGCCCGAGTCCCAGGGAGAAGCCGTCCTCACCCAGGCAGAGCAGGTTCTGATAGTTCTCCAGCATCACGTCCCGGTACAGCTCCTTCTGAGAAGGGTCCAGGTATCCCCACTGCTCCTGTGTGAAGACCACCGCCACATCCTGGAAGGTCACTGGCTCCTGAAACACCAAAGGGTTTTATTTGTGCTTGTCCAGGTTCTGGCCCTCAGATGGCCCTGGGGGTCCACGGGAAGGGGCCAGAGAGCATGCAGGGGGCTTGTTCTCAGGGGTCTGGCTTCACCAGGGGCCAAGGCAAGTCAACATCAAAGACTTCCTGTACCCCAGGTGCCAACAGTCACTCAGTAAGCATTTATCAGGTACCCACTATGTGCCTGGATCCAAAGAGAAGCAGAGATCTGGTGGGGGAAGCAGCCTCCAGAAGCCCTCTGTCCCTTCCATCCCGTCTCCTCCAGCATACCGCCACGCCCCCCAACCTCTCCTAACCCTGCTGCCTGCCAACTCACCCATCCTTGATCCCACCAGCCCCAGCCCCACCCTCTTTCCTCCGCCACTCCTTAATGATAACCAGAAAGAGAACTAGCATTTATACCATGCTTTACAACTATCCTAGGAGGAGGATGGTGCTGTTAGGATCCCGATATTACAGCTAAGGAAACCAAGGCAGGCAGGGGTGAAAGGGACTTGCCCAGAGTCACTTGGCTAGTGTCTGAGGCTGGATCCCTGTCACAGCTATGAGTAGGAGCTGTGTTCTTGAGCAAATGAGATGGAGGAGATTACAAAAGGTCAGTAACAACTCTGATTACTTGACACTGAAGAGGTTGCATCTGAGACGAGACGAGAAGAAGTTGAATGGGAAAAAAACTTTCGTATCAAAGTCCCCAGATGAAGGCTTGGTATCCAAGACAGACAAACGATTAATAAACATGCACAAAACTAACAGCCCGTAAGTGGTCAAGATAGAAATAATTCTCAGAAGAACAACCCCAAGGTCTTCACATGAAAGACTGATCCAAACCACCAATGATAAGAGAAATGCAAACTCGGCAACAGCTCAAGGTGGAGGGGCCGTGGACGGACAGGCGCACTGATACATTGTTGGTGGAGATGCAGAACGGCACAACCACTCTAGAAAACAATTTGGAATTATGCAAATAAAATGACCACAATGTCCACACCCTTTGAACCAGGGACCCCAAGCCTGGGCTTATACCACAAGGAAGCCATCAATAAGAACTCTGCCATACACTCCACAACATTTATAGCAGCACATTTTGTGAGAGCCGAAAATTGGAAACAGAGGAGACGCCCATCCGTGAGGAATGGCTCAACACACCGTGGTCCATGAAAGCAACGGAAACTTACAGAAACGACACACGTGAAAGAGACAGGGAATCTCCAAAACCAAAAGTGAACACTGCCAAATTCCAAAGCATGCTCCTGGCTCCGGAGGAGAAATAAGAGAGGCCCCCCTAGCCCGGCCCCCTCTCTGCAGATGTGGAAGCACTGCAGGAAACGTGCAGCAGGACATTTTTTTCAGATTTTTTTTCCAAGTATTGGTCAGTTGTTTTTTTCTTTTTTTTTTTAAAATAGCCCTTGTTATAGGGACCAGCTCTCTGGAAGGCAGAGAGCACTGGAAGAAATTCTGGCAATATAAAAAAATCAATAAAAGTTGATTTACCAAGAAAACCAAAGAGACAAAGCTGGGACCAGAGACTGCTTGAGGTGGGAGCATGGGCACCATTCCTCTGTATTTATGTGTCTTGGACAGTCATCACCAAAGGACCACAAATTTGGTCCAGAACTGAAGAGGAGGAACGAGCGTGGATGGCACTACCTTCCCCTCGGAATCACGCCCCAAAGCCCTTCAGTTAAACATGGGCCCCCCCTCTGAATTTCAGTGCTGTTCTGGACATGGGATGGAGGCCAGGCAGGTGGGGAAAAGCCCACAGAAGAAGGGGTGGGCCAGAGATGATTTCATGAAGCACGCATTATCCCCATCAGGAGACTGCCCCTTCTTTTCAGTGGTGACTTCAGGAGTGGGTGTGACTCATGAGGTGACCACAGGGTGGAGAGCAGGGGATGGAGATCAGTTGGAAAGGACCGCGAAGGGCTTCAGCGCTGGGAGAACATCCCATCTCCGTCTCCAGGAATCCTCCAGGCAGTCCCACGGTGGAACAATGGAGGCCAAGGAGGGAACAGATACTGGACAAGCAAAGGGCTCTCCGCTGACCCCAAGCCCAGCTCGATTCCGGAGGTCCTTTATCCACAGACTTCTCTGGCGGGCTCCGGTTTGGAGGCCACGGGCCAGGAACCTTTCACTCACCTGGAGAGCCCTGGCCATCAGGAGCACAGGTGCCATTCTCCCTTCCACAGAGGCTGCTCCTTCTGGGGGAGAGAGGGAAGCAAACCATGAGAGGGGCTGGTCTTGGCCAACCTTGGCTAGAATCCCCCCAAGGACCCTCCTCCCCACTTGGCCAGTGCTTGCTAGACACACAAGGCACAGGGCCAGGCACTCGTGGAGAGGAAACTCGAGGGGCACCTTCTCCACACGCTATATTCTTACAGTCACCCAGAGCAACGAGAAGTTAAGTGACCACCACCATCCTAAGTCAGAGAGCCCTGGCCGACATGATGAGGCCTGCCCTCAAGAGGCTCCCACAACACACTGTGGGATGGACAGTACCTTACTCCCCCCTGAGCCTCAGTTTCCTCATCCAGAAAATGGGGGTAAGTAGCACCTACCTCACAAGACAATTCTGAGGAACCAATGGAACAGTGCAGGGGCCGCCCCATAAACCTGCCCACTGCCCAGGAGAGCTGGCAGAGGCGGTCCCGCCAAGACAGATGGCAGAAGGAATCGAGTCCTGGCCCTGGGGCACGCAGAGGAGCAGGAGCAGGGGCAGGGAGGGTCCAGCCTACACCCCAGTGGAGCGGGGCCCACAGCACATGGGGGTCATCCCAGATTTGGGGGAGGGGAGAAGGCAGGGAGTCAGGGACGGAGGGGGAGGGGAGGGAAAGGAGAAGGGAGAGGAAAGCCAGAGAAAACTGAGGTGGGGGCAGTGGTGGGGGGGACCATCAAGGAGGGAGAGAAAGGGATGGGGAGGAGGGAGAGGCTAGTGGGAGGTGAGTGGGGGAAGGTCTCTGGTGGGAGGGGAGGAGGGGGAATAACGCGGGAGGGGAAAAAGGGGAGGAAGGTCACTGGTGGGGGAGGGACAGGGGAGGTGTAAAAGGGGAGGGAGAAGAGGCTAGTGGGGGGGCAGGAGGGAACAGGAAAGAGGTAAAGGAGGAGGGAGAAATGGAGGAAGGGAGGAGGGGGAACAATGGGGGAGGGGGGAAAGGGGAGGGAGGAGAGGCTAGTGGGGGGAGCAGAACAAAGGGGGAGGGAAAAGAAAAGGTCGGGGGGGGGAGAGTGGGGGAGGGGGAAAGGAGGGGCAAGAAGAGAAGGTCCGTGGAGGGAGGGGAAAGAGAGGTGATGGGGGAGGGGCGAGGAGGACAGTGGGGAGGGGTACGTGGGGTGGGGCACGCGGGGCGGAAGGAGAGCAGGGGGAAGCGACCCCTCCGCGGGCACCGACCGCCCCGCCTCGGACCCCGGAGGGCCGCTCGAAGCCACAGGGGTCCCACGGCGGCCCAGTAAGCGGAAGAGCAGGAAGCGGAAGTCACGTGGGCCCGCCCTTGCCTACGCTCCGCCGTTGCCTCGACAACCGACCTGGGAGTGACGCCATTTTGCTCCGGGGTGCCCAAGGCCTTCTGGGAAATGTAGTCTTTTGGCGCCTACCGCCGTCCGCCTTTCAGGCTCCTGGGCGCAAAGCGCGCGGGCACCGTCAGCCCGGCTCCTAGCACGTTCCCCAGAAGTCGTCCAGGCTGTTTGCTTTTCTGTATGGCAAGATAACGGGCATAACTCTGAGATTTATTCCTGTAAGAGCGATTAGGAGGAGTATATGCAGAAGGGGGTGTGGATATGAGGTGACTGATGGGACGCTACGCCAAAAAGAACAAAACTGCACGGGTAGAAGAGGGGAGACATTGGATGGGCAAATTATCCTACATAGAAGAGGCATAAAGAGCTATTGTAATGGAGGGGATGATGGGGGGAGGGCAAAGCTTAAACCTGACTCATCAGAATTGGCTCAAAGTCTGCCACAGACACCTGTCTTACCCTATGTGGAAGTGAAAAGGGACGGGGATGATAGAAGGGGAGGGGGACTGATAAAAAGGAGGGCAGATTGGAGAAGGCAGTGATCAGAAACAAAACGCTTGTGAGGAGGGAAAGGGGGGCCAGGGATGGGGCGATAAACAAGAGAAAAATAGCACGAAGGGAAATACACACTTAGTTATCGTAACTATAAGTGTAAATGAACTCACCCATGAAACAGAAGCGGAGAGCAGAATGGATTAAAAACCAGAATCCTACAATATGTTGTTTACAAGAGACACATCTGAAGCAGAGAGACACACAGGGTCTATTGTGCTTCAACAGAAGCAAAGAAAGCAGGGGTGTCCGTAATAATCTCACACAAAGCAAAAGCAAAAAAACAGATCTAATTAAATAGAGATTAGGAAGGAAACTACATCTTGTTGAAAGGTACCATAGGCAATGAAGTCCTATCAATACTAAACATATATGCACCAAATGGTATAGCATCTAAATTTCTGAAGAAGTTAAATAAGTTACAGGAAAAAATACATAATGAAACTATACTAATGGGGGACCTCAAGTTTCCCCTCTCAGAACTAGATAAATCTAACCAAAAAACAGACAAGAAAAAAATTAAACGGGTGAATGAAATTTTGGAAAAGTTAGATATGATAGATCTCTGGAGGAAATTGAATGGGAATAGAAAGAAATACACCTTTTTCTTAGCAGTACATGACACCTACACAAAAATTTATATTAGGACATAAAAACTTCACAATCAAATGTAGAAAAGCAGAAATAGTAAATCATAATGCAGAAAAATTATATTCAATGATGGACAATGGAAAAAGAGATTAAAAATTAATTGAAAGTTAAATAATCTAATCCTCAATAATAAGTGGGTCAAAGAACAAACCATAGAAACAATCAATAATTTCATTAAAGATAATGACAACAATGAGGCAATATGCTAAAATTTATGGGATGCAGCCAAGGAAAATTGATATCTCTAATTGCTTACATCAATAAAATAAAGAAAAAGCAGATCAATGAATTGAGCATGCAACTAAAAAAAAACCAGAAGAAGAACAAATTAAAAATCCCCAATTAAGTACTAAATTAGAAATCCTGAAAATCAAAGGAGAGATTAATAAAATTGAAAGTGAGAAAACCATTGAACTAACACATAAAACTAGATGCTGGTTTTATGGGGGGAAAAACAATAAAATAGATAAACCATTGTTAATTTGATTTAAAAAAAAAAGGAAAGAAGAAAACCAAATTGCTAGTATCAAAAGTAAAAGGGGTAATAAATGAAGAGGAAATTAAGACAATTGTTAGGAGCTATTTTGCCCAACTATATGCCAATAAATTTGACAATCTAAATGAAATGGATGAAAATCTACAAAAATATCATTACCCAGATTAACAGAAGAAGAAATGAAATAAATAACCCAGTCTTAGAAAAGGAAATTGATCAAGCCATCGATGAACTTCCTAAGAAAAAATCTCCAGGACTAGATGGATTCACAAGCAAATTCTACCAAACATTTAAAGAACAATTAATCCCAATGCTATACAAAGTATTTGAAAAAAATAATTGACAAATAAGGAGTCTTACCAAATTCCTTTTACAACACAAGATACCTAAACCAGGAAGAGCCAAAACAGAGAAAGAAAATTATAAATCAATTTTCCTAATGAATATTGATTCAAAATTTTAAAATAAAATATCAGCAAAGAAATTACAGCAATATATCACAAGGATCATACACTATGACCAAGCGGGATTTATACCAGGAATGCAGGACTGGTTCAATATTAGGAAAACAATCAGTGTAATTGATCATATCAATAACAAAACCAACAGAAATCATATGATTGTCTCAACAGCTGCAGAAAAAGCCTTTGACAAAATACAACACCCATTCCTATCAAAAACACTAAAGAGCATAGAAATAAATGGAACTTACCTTAAAATGATAAGTAATATTTATCTAAAACCATCAGCAAGCATTGTCTGTAATGGGAATAAGCTAGAAGCCCTCCCAACAAGATCAGGGATGAATAAGGATGCCCATGTAACTATAAATGTGGGGCTAATTTTATTACCTTTGAGTCTCAGGACATATCTTTATAAATCTTTTTCAGAAACTCAGATTAGTTCTAACTTATCATTATTTTGGAATTAAAAGAAAATTTGTGTTTTCCATTGGATGGACTTCTAAAATGCCAGGAGTAAAAGAAAATAATTACAGATATCAACATTGAAAGAGAGAGAGAGATGCAAGGATTACATTCTTAGTTGCACATTTTCCTCATTCAAAGAGGGGAAAGTTTTGGTAAAGTGAGAAACATGGAGGAAAGGAAAATGCAATGATAGGTCTTGTATGAAATTTCCCATTATAGTGATTTCTACTTATCATTCCAATGATGGAACAGGAAAGAAAAAAAAAACATAGAGTATTGGAGTTGAAATCAACCTAAATGTCTATTCAGTACAGTATTTCTCTTTTTGCTAAGTTAGTTTCCAAAGTTTATTCTTCAAATCTATACATGGAGAATACAGTAGATCCCAAATCCCACTATAACAAATGTTAGGTTCAGAAATCCCTTAAATATGTACTAAAGTAATATGAATAATATGACATTTTGGCAAGAGGATGAGCTCAAAAACCTTTAGAGCAGCTCTTGAAAAATCTGTTTCTGCAATTTCCTTTTTCTTCATCCTGGATCTTTTCCAGTGGTTTGATTCAGAGGCTCTACTGTGACACTAGCCATTGTCACCACAACATTAACATCCCTTTTAAGTCATCAGCCTACTTAATTTCACATCAAGGTCTCCTTCCAAAATGAATTGTCTATGTGAAAGGGCCCTAAGTGTATGTCAATAGGAATTTACAATAAAAGCAGGATTGAAAAAGCTATAAAAATATACAATTCAATTTCAAGATCTAATTTACAGGAGGAAAATGAGAATTAGAGGTTAAAATTTAATTGTACTATTTTTCTACTGGGAATAGCACATATTAAGTGGGAATGAATACTTAAGCGGGCAAAAGAAATATATACATACGTACATATGTATGTATGTATGTGGTGTTGGAACTACGTGGCATGATTTGAATGGTATTGGCTTCAAAACATCTCTCCCTCCTGCCACTAATCCCTAAGCCATTTGAGATTAATTCCTTTCGTCTTTTTGTTCTTCTGAAATTTTTCCTGGAAGGGCAGTTCTTTTCACCCTTATTACCTGATGTGTCACCCCAGGTTAGTTTAGTATATCACTGAGAAAACCTTAACAGGTAAGAGACTTGATGGGGACATCACCAGGAGTTGTGAGAGGACTCTGAAGACAAACTTTCCAAAGGACACAGATCTGCTTAGAAGAGTACAAGCAGGTCTAAATCTCTCTATAGTAAACATCAGTTTCAGCTTTTGGAATGATGATTTAAAATTGATCAGTTGTGACTAATTTTACATTAGGAAGATACTATGAAAGCTTATAAAGGAATCCAACTCTTTGAACACTCCTACACAGACCTAAAAAGGGCACTGGATCAAATAGTGATCAAGAAATTAGGAGAGAAACCACAGAAGCTACTTCATTCAGACCAACCCGAATACACAAAAAAGGACGGCATAGAAAAGACAACCACAGACTCTGGTGGTAAAAAAGGAGCTCGACCTAAACTTAGGTAAACAGGCTGAAAGTTGACTAGCCCTCTAATCAAAGATGATCTTGGAGGACTTGAAGCCACCAGCACTCAGACCACTGATGGCCTAAAGGACCAGGAGCCTTCTTTAAAAAAGCTCTGAGAGGTCAAGAAACCTTTAGTGATAAGATATCCCTTGGAAGCCTGAAGCCTACCAGTGTCGTAAGTCCA